ACTTGATTTACAAATATAAGAATATTTAACTAATCAGATATTCTAAATATTTAGAGTCAGAGACTCAATTCACTGTTTATCTCAAGAAATAAAAAATAAATAATAATAATAATAATTCCTCATACTCATATCTGAGCTCCATTACAAATCTTCATGCTGAGAATGTTCTGTATCACTGAATATATAAATAACTGGTAATTGTGTTGTTGTCTTATTTTATCTTTTTATCTCTGGTTTGTTTTTTTTATCTGATATGGGCCATTTCAACCAAAACCACCTCTTAAAAAAAGAAGTTCCTGTCTAGTCATGTGACTTCCTCAAGCATTTAGTTCTCCACTCCAGCGATCAGAGAAGAACTTTTCTTCTGCCTCTTCCTCCTCTGGTGGCTTTTGTCTCTCTGTGAGTGGCCCCGTGGCAGTAAGACCGACAGTTAGTTTAGCACAGCCAAGAGTCATACTGCCACAACTATAGTCGTGGTCCTCAGGAGAATATTGCCCACCCACTACTGGATCAAGATGCTACGACGGAAACCATCCAACGCATCTGAAAAGGAGCAGCCCCAGGTGCAAAAGAAGAAGGTAGGAGTTTGTGTATTAATCTGCATGTGCGGCCCTGTTTTGAACAATTAAAGCAAGAGTAGAAATGATGGAAGTTTCCTTCAAGGAACACAAACACACATAATATGCTGTTTAAAAAGCAAAAGGTAAATTAAACAAATGCATTGTGCCAGAACACATGTGGTTTATTTGCTAACTGTTCAATCAACAGTACTTGGAGAGGATTTTTTGATTGTTTTTCATTCATCTACATGAATAATAGTCCTATTGTAATTTGTCCTGTTTGACTTCAGACCTGTAAGAACTGAAACTCTATGATTGTTCTGGGTAAAATGCATGGTTGTGCAGCAGTTCCTGTAGAGAGACAGCAGACCGTACCGCACATCCTGAAGCAGTTCATACTTCATCAGAGCAAAGCATCCAAACGCAGCTCCTCAATTCAAAGTGACATTTACGTAGGTCTTCACAGCCCGCTTCACTTCTCAATCAGTGGTTAACTGCTTCTACAGCATTACTCTTATTTTCCATTTGATTCACATCTTGCGTGGAACAACCAACAGTTTCGATATTTCTCCTCTGTGAAACTGCAGGTGCTTTGTAAATGCACGGAACCCAAGCAAAGCGAGATCTGAAAATCTTGCTGTTGTGCATTATGGTTATTTTGATGTCTTTTATTTATGTCTTAACCAATGCCTATTTCATATCCTTATCCAGAGCACAGGATGTAGCATAGAGTTGACATGCATTACCATGGTGTAAATGAAAATACTTTTCCACATCATCTCAAATGTTGCAGTTTCCTCTTTGGTCATGCTTTAGATTATGAGTAATCATTTCAGCCAAGATCTGTCAAAAATATATTTCAACATCTCATTATGATGCAGAATGTTGTCACGGTGTTGGGGGAAATTTATGGGGAAGGTTTGTGCAATGATAGTTTGACAGCAGGTCATTTTACCAGTATTTACCGGCTGAACAATCTCTCTGCATTTAGTTGGTTTAGCAGATTGCAGTATGTCGTGTGCTGGCTAGATAGTGCACAGCTCTGCAGGGATTGGCTGAATGTTGACTGTGACATACCCACTTCCTGTGCTAAAGTAAAGTGGCACAGTGAAAGGTTGTGATAAGAGAAAAACGTCAAATTGGAACAAAGATGCACAACAGCCCACAAAACCCACACTGAATGACAAGCATTAATTAAAAAAAAAAGTTTCTTATTCTTGAATGAAACTACTCTGGTTCAAGCCACACTTTGCAATACAGTGTCTTTTAAAGTTTAAATGCATCAGTATTAATAATACAAATGAGCATCATGTAAAAGAGAATTACTTTATCATATAGATCAGTGGTGCACAAACCAGGCCAAAGTTAGCTCATTATGACCTTTGATTTGGCCCACTATACCATAACAGAATAAAACAGAATTTTTGGCCCTTTGTAGTAGAAAGATTAGACTGACTTATGACAGTTATTACTGTTGTAATCAATTACATTGAGAAGTTACATTGACAAAGTGTCACCAAACACATTTTCCTATCTGTGAAAACCTATGAAAGCTTATTTTTCAGTTCAAAGGTTTTTCCACCCTACAAAACACTCATGAGTTGAAGCAAGTGTTATCAATTCTTATAATTTCATCTGGTCAATGGATCTGAAAAGGATAATGTGGATTCTTCAGCTCAAATGTTACTCTAAAGGCCCGATAATGCCTCCAAATATTGATCAGGATATATGCTTGTGGAATTCCAATAACATTTAATGGCCATTATAACATGAACTATCAGTTAAAGCAAACTGGATTTGTTCATGATGCATAGAGATTAAATTACATCAGCATAATGCTGGATGACTCTGCATTCAACCATAAATCCAATTGGGTCAGGAATCATGGCAATAATCTGTCTGTCTATAATCTGAATACTGTACTGTATGGTGACTTTAATTAGTCTGATGAGAAACTGTTCTGTGTTTATAGCTGACTCTGCAAAGGTCCAGCAGCTTCAAAGACTTCATGAAGCCAAAGCCGTCGGCACCCATAGTGAGCTCTGAGGCTACACTGGATGAAACGGTACGTGCAGTAGTTTGTTAAAGAAATGGTTCAATGAAAAATGACAATTCTGTCATTTACGTACCTCCCTACAGGTTCCAAACATGGGTGAGTTCTTTTCAGCTGTTGAACACAAAAGAAGATATTTTGAAGAATGTTGGTGACCAAACAGTTGTCAGTTGACTGCCAAAGAATGGAAAAAATACTATGGAAGTCAAAGGATTCCATCAACTGTTTGGTTACCAACATTCTTCAAAATATCTTCTTTTGGAACATTTGGAACAACTTGAGGGTGAGTAAATCATGACACAATGTTCAGTTTTAGTGAACTATCCCTTTGACTATAGAGATGAACTTGCCATACTCAAGCGCCAACGTACTACTGTCTCATGATTATCAAAATATTGGATAATGTGAAGTTGTGTCGAAAAAACAACAGCCAAGTCAGTTAACCTTAACCCAAACTGCCAGAATGATGCTTAATAACTGTTTCATTTGAAAGCCACACAGTTTTAAAAATATCTAGACAGGATGTCATCCTTTCATGAGCCATCCAAGCAGAGAGCCTGCTTAGCCTTCTGTCTGCTTTTCAGAGAAGTAGACAATTGTGCTGTTTTATGCAGAGCAGCTGTGATGCATTTGTGCACATTTATATTTATATTTGAAGAGTTTATTTGCAAAAGCAGATAACTCCATTTTTATGAATTTTCATAAATCATGCTTTTTTTATTGTGTTATCATCATTATTGTGTTTTATTGTGTTAGTTTGCTGTATTTCTTTTAGTTATTATTATTTAATAAAAACAACCCAACTGCAGTTTGATTTATATTAATTGGAAAAACATGATTTTTAAATATTTTTAAAAACAGAGTTATCTGTTTTTGCAAATGAACTCTTAATTTATATTTATATACATTGCAGTTCAAAAGATTTGGGGTCAACAAGATATATATATTTTTTAAGAAATACTTTGAGCAAGGACATAAAAATTATTTTAATAAATCTTACAAAATATTTCAAATAAATGCTGTTCTGTGAAACCTTATAGAATCCTGAAAACAGTGTATCATGTTTTTTTCTACAAAAATATTAAGCAGCACAACATATTGATAATATATTTTGATAATAATAAAAAATACAAAAAATATTGATAATAATTTTAAAAAGTGTTTCTTGACCAGCAAATCAGCATATTAGAATGAGGACTGAAGACTGTAGTAGTAGCTGCTGAAAATTCAGCTTTGCCATCACAGGAATAAATTACACTTTAAAATATATTCAAATAGAAAACAGTTATTTTAAATTGTAATAATATTGTGCAATACTACATTTTTACTGTATTTTTGATTAACTAATTGCAGCCTTGGTGAGGATAAGAGACTTCTTTTAAACAATTTTTACAATTTTATGTGTATATATTTTTCAAATAAAACATTGTTTTAACAAACAAATAAATTAATTAAAAAATTATTTCTGATTCATTCATAATTTAATAAATATTCATATATTTTTTGGTTGTTAAAACAGTCTCCTGTTTAATATCGAAAGTGTCGAATGGCATGGGATAGCTTTCTGTGCAAGAGTTAAGTGAAGTGCTGAGGTATAAACACAAAGGTAATGTAACAGACAGATGTAAAATCCCCTTGACGTCGACAGGTACTTTTGTTGTTTTTTTGTCTGTGTCTTTGATAACAGCACATGTTGTCCTAAAAGGAAGAGCCTGTGACATTTCTCTCAGAGCTCAGAGAGGAGGAGTCACACTGACTCACTGTGGGTAGAGACACAAAAACCGCTGTCACAGTCTTTACTGGAAATCCTCTTGAGAACAGGGGCCCATCGCTTTAAAACTAACACTGCTCATAATGAGGTTATGTCACAAACAAATACACGCTGATTCAGCTCGGCCAGGGCAAACCTCTGAACATAACATGGCACATTACAAATGGGTTATGAAAAACACATCAAAGAGTTCTGCAATCAGTAATTAAAAACACAAAGGTTACTTGAGGTAAATCAAGGCAGTAAGTTCTAACAGAAGTCTGTCTCGGTTTCTTTAATGATGGAGCCAGGACAAGTCTATGAGGGCCAGCAGCATAGCAACAATTATTCATTGCCTGTAGACCTTTTTAGACAAGAGGAAGTTTGATGAGTCGAGAGGACAAAATTAGTAGCTACTGACTAAGTGCTCAGTAAAAACAGCATAATTTTTTGTGAAATTTCTTTCAGCAGCTGGAGGGTGCACCACCGGAGGATTCAGGGAAAAGTAACGGGAAACTGGGAAAGAAATGGAGAAATGTCATAACTCGCACAATGACCCGTAAAACCTCCAAGATGGTACAGAAAGCCCTTGCAGAGGGGGTGAGTTGAAAGTCTAAAGAGAGTCAATGACGAATTAACAATAAACACTTATTAACCTTGGTTAATGTTAATTGCTACATCAAATATTTTTTTTATCATTTCAGATGTTTTAGTATTTCCAATTTGATAAATTATATATAATATCATTTAATTGCATTTATAAATTAACATTAAACTATATTAATAAATGCTGTAAAATTATTAGTTAGTGATACCTAATGCATTGATTAATATAAATTAATTGAACCCTATTATAAAATGTTACATTTAAAATCCTGTTAAAATATCTCAGTCCCATAAATATTGCTATAAATGTTTATTATTTTATTTTACTTTAGCAGGTTGGTTTATTTTATTTTTTATTTTCCTAAGTAAACTAACAAACTATCTAAAAAATCACTTAATGTAACAGATTTAACTTTTCTGATTTCTAATTTTTATTTTCGTTTTTTTTTTTCTAAGTAAGCTAACATACTAGCAGCCTGTCTAAGAAAAGCAAGCACTTAATGTAACAGATTGAATTTGTCTCCCCCATGTGGATGATATTAGAACATTTTATACAGTCAGCACTCTTAGGATGCTTCCAGTAGCTTAATGTTAGCTCGCAAAGACATTCATGAGGATATGAATTGAAATGAACTTTTAATTATGTTACGTTTGTTGATTTCAGAATGAGAGTGGGGAGGATGGCTCTAAGTCTCCCATGTCTCCAACTGACTGGATTCCAGATCTCACTGCTGGGAACAGAACGTCTGTGTGCTCCAACAGCTCAGAGGACACAATACACAACCCTCTCTCGCGCCAGCTCTCTGGATGTAAGCCAGCTCAGCCCGGCACAATAGGAAGCTGAAGCGAGATCATGAGGCTGATTGATTTTTTTTCCTGATGTGCAGGTGCTGACAGGCAGAGTCTGGACAGTGGCTTCAGCCAGAGAGACAGTATGAGACTGGAGGACAGCACCTACACAGGGCCCTTCTGCGGCAGAGCCCTCGTCCACACTGACTTCACCCCCAGCCCCTATGACATCGAATCCCTCAAACTACAGGTCAGCCTTTTAAAAAGTGCTGGTTTTGGATTGGTTAATCCAAAGTTGAAAATTCTGTTTCCATTAACTGATCTATTTATGTATTCTTCTCTTTTCTTATTTGTTTAAATGCATGTTAAATAAATGTATATTGATTATTTTCATTGTTATTTACGTATATTTCTTATGCATCTGTTATGATTATATGGTATTTTTAAAATCCTTTTCATGTAAAGCACTTCAAATTACTATTGTGCATGAAAATAGTAAACCATTGATACACTATTATAGTTTTTATAAATATTCATTTGTTTTTATTTTTATATATTCCATTTTTATTTATATTTTAGTTTAAGTTTTAGTCATTTTGTTGTGTGTTTTTGCTATTTTGGTTTTATTTTTTTTAATGTCTCTATATAGACATATCCATATAGTTTTAGTTATTTTAGTACTTCAAGGTTAAGCTAAATGTAAATGAGAAATGTTGCCTTGGCAGCTGGCTGAAATAATACAAGTTAAAGTTTTTAAATATTTTATTTCAGTTAACGTTTATTTTCATATTAAGTAGCCATTTTTAAACTATAAAAACTTTGGTATAAAATGTGCTATTGAAATAAAATGGCCTTGCTTTTTGTGGAACTCAAAAGGAGCAATTTTGAGGAATTGTACTGATGCTCTTTTCCATACAATTACAAAGACAATTGACCTGAAGCTTTCAAGCATCAAAAGCCCTGTGAAAGTATCAAAAAGTGGTCCATAAAATGTGTGTGCCATATTTAAAGTTGTTTTGAAGTTTGAAATTTGAAATCCCCAATCGTGAAATAATAACAACCAGTATATTATTCAGAATTTATTGTTCTGTGTTTCACAAAAGAAAGTAATACAAGTAAATAATGACAGAATTTTGAGTGTAACTAATCCAAATTCCACATTTTTACTGCATTGTTCATTCTTATAGTACGTGTTCTTTTCAAAATCTTAAACACGTGCACAAGCTCTACTTATTATGTATGGTTAAAATATGGGGATTTTTATTTTTCTTCAGTCCTGGTGTCCATTATAGTGGACATGAAAAAAATCTAATAAAAAAATTAGTTGGCACAAATCCTGTTTTTTTAGACTTGTTTCTATATTGGAGAAGAGCAAATATCAAGTGGATAAAAAAAATTTTGTTCAGTGAAAAAAATTCAGGTCTGAAGGGGTTAAAAAAAGTAGTGTGTGAACAAAGAGTGAAAAATTGAAGGGGGTCTGAATACTTTCCGTACCCACTGTATATTGTATGTAGTGTACTGACATTTTTCAAAACACACAGAAAGGAGACATCATCCAGATCATTGAGAAACCACCAGTAGGCACCTGGACTGGTAAACTCAACAACAAAGTGGGCTCCTTTAAATTCATCTACGTCACAATACTACCAGAGGAGGACACACCACCAAAGAGGAAGCGATGCCGGAGTCAAGGACGCAAGAACAAGCCCAAACCACAAACCTTGGAGGAAGTTCTGGAGAGAATAGGCCTAACTGTAAGCCTCAAGTTACTTTCTCTTAAACATGTGGGCCATTACATCACAGTACAATAGGATCTGATCTGACTGATTTCATTGTTTGCTCAGGAGCTGGGATCTCTCCTGTCCATGCACGGCTTCCAGAGTTTGGAGGATTTCAGAGGTCTGAAGGAGTCCCATATGAATGAACTAAACATTACTGACCCCGAGCAACGTGTGAAGATACTGAAAGCAACAGAATTGTTTCATGACTGTAAGTCCACTAAAGAACCATTGAGTCTAGCCTTTTTTTTTCTTGTTTGTGTTTTATTACATATTTATAATTTGCAGTATGTTTGATGTACTAACATCCTTTCTGCTCTCCAGCGGAGGACGAATCTGATGCAGAGGAGCAAAAGACTGAAATGCCACGGGACTCGGGTTGTTACGAAAGCACAGAGAACCTGGCAAATGGACGTGAGGAGCCCCAGGTGGAATCCCAACCAGAGCCGGAGACTGATCCGGACACAGAAACAAAGCTCAATGCGATTCAGGAACAATTGGAGGAGATGAAGGTGGAGGAGAGTCCTGAGAGCCCAACAGAGTGAAGCCACCAGAATGTTCTTTTGATCTCTCTGATGGAGAGTGTCATATCCACGTGCTGGATTAAATTCATGAAAAAAAAACTTTGATATGCACAGCCCATACAGAAGCCAATAGGTCTTCTTAGAAGATGGTATAGAGATCTTGAAGGTACCATCATTTATTCTCACTGAGATTATTGTTCAGGAAGACCCAAAAAATCTGGAAACTGAAACAAAGTTGTAGGATTTTGAAAAACAGACTGCATGAAGTGATATTCCATGGATTAAACCTACGGCTATGTTATTACATCTTAAAATAAGAAGAATGCTGATACCCCAAATATTGATTTTACTCCGCTTAGGTTAAATATTTAAGCCATTTTTTCTGGTAAAGCGTTGATGTGCATGACCTAACTGTGATTCTCTAATATCTGAGAAGTTTCATCATCATCATCATCATACCTTTAGCTATGAAGTAGCATTTTATTTACTACTGTTCTACGGTTTCTGCCGGAATGAATGTATAGAGCAGGGGTTTTCAACCTGTGGGGCGCGCAGTTTTTCATTCTCACGTATTTTAAATCTTATCAGTTTAAACATTAAAGTAATTTTTAGCCATTTAAGCCCAGTCTTACTGATTACAGATTACATGATGAAAATTGTAGTTAGAAATGTAATCTAGGTTACTCATTTTAGGTAATGTAATCTCAGTACTTTTAGATTTTTTTTTAATCAGACTTGTTTTAAACTTACAATTAATAAGCATATTGCTATAAAAAAAAGCAAAGAGAATGAAAATATATTCCGTTTTTTTTTACATCAACATAAAATGCATTAAATATTACACTAGGGTTTCCCAAACTGGACTTTATATTAGAATCAACAGTTACTAAAGGTCACTGGATATGATGAAGACAATGTGTCTCAGCTATACATCACCAGTGTTCAGTAACTTGCTTTCTATACATTTTAATTAAAATGTTATTTTTCATAATTATTTATTTCATACATTGTCTAATTGCTTGAGGTGCTTTTTTTCACCCAAATTCAGAAGCATGGTTTGCAAATTTATTTACACAACTTTTGTGAATATAGTCAAAGCTAAATGGTATGATACACAGTAGGATTTTTAGAAAGAAATTAAAAGAGACAAAATAAGAATAAGGGAGAATCAAAAAACTATGAATAATTTACTAATCATGTGATTTTGTAATCCATAAAAAGTAACTAATCTGATTATGAGCATTTTAAAATGTAATATACTCTAATTACAGTTTATACACACACATATATTCAAATATACACACATTTTATATATATATATATATATATATACATATACATACACATACACACACACACACACACATAACAAATTACATATAAATATCCATGATCCTGTGTATTGTCGCTTAATGCATTCATTTACTCCACATGGTTCTTTTTCCTGGCCTTCTAACACTCTCAGCTCTTAGGGTAATTGATTTAGGATCTTTCTTGCAGACTCACTACTCAACGCACAGTACGGCAGCCAGCAACATTTCAGCCAAATGAACACTCACTCGTTCACTCAAACACTCATAAAAAATGCTGTCTTACTGTGGTTTGTGAAACAGGGTTGCTGCTCTTATGGGTGGAAGCATCAGAGGGGTTGGGGCTAGTCGAGTCTTCCAGCATCACCCCTCTTCTGTCCAACACACTAGCAGGACAGAGAAAGACAAGAGTTATATGATCCTGTGATCAGGTGTGGCATTTTCCTGACTTACATATAACAAAATATCAAACCACATGGCAGGTTTTCATAGTTTGTCATCTTATGCAATGCCATACCACTTTGTGGCACCCCTGTATACAAGCAAACCTACATTAATGTTCCTACCTGGGGTAAGTAGGGCCGCACAGAACCTCACAGCAGTTCTCGATGATGTTCTTATGGCTGTATGGGTTCTGCACACGGTTCTTTCCAGACCATGAGCCTTTGATCTGTATAGTAGAGATGAAGGACTTAGAACTTTGAAAATAACACCATCATAATGTCAGAACTGCCACTGACCGTTACAATCTGATTCAACCTCCAACGCTCTACTGACTCTTCACTGCACTCTGACGTTTCATGTTATAAAGCATCCGTGCAAATGGGAGCTTGATAAAAAAGAATCTCTTATTTGTTATCCTTTATTTAAATGTGCCTTTTCAATTCTAGCCATTCCATCGCTATGGATTTCATTTTATCTAGTTAAGCACTTCAAGGGTCCTCATCTTAAAAAGACATGCCTTTACTGTTTCATCTGCTCCTAGATAGAAATGTATGTATGCATCACAGGCAAATCTGGAGGGGAAAATCATCTAAAGTTTACCAAGTTTTATGTGTGGTATTCCACTCAAAAATGTTACACCAGCTAAAAAGTTAAGTTGTATCTGAATTTGACTGGCAGCTATGACAGTTTCTGCAGGTATTGATAAATCTTGTTAGAAGCAGAATCCAATTTATACTGAATCAAAGGCGAACAACCATCATGTCACACCATATTACTTGCAGCAACTGCATCCTTCCTTCTTGCTTCCTCCCTTTCTCACTATTTTTCACTCCTCATTACCAAGAAAAGAAGGGCCAGAGGGCAAATGTGGCAAAAAAAACAAACATTCTAAATTAATCATTAGGGCTAAGTGTGAAAGTGCCACAGAACTACAGATTCTGCAAAACTAAATCAAAGCATTAATAAACTTAAACTGCTGCAGGGAATCTAAACACTATATATGCATGTGTTAGAATGTTTTTTTTTTTGTAATAAATGCTTAACCTTCAGAAAATGATGATCAGAGTTTATTTATTATTTATTTTTCTGTGAGGTTTGGGATTTTTGCAAACTTGTTAAAAGAAAATTTTGAAGGTTTTTTTAATTTTTTTTTTATATATAAAAATGCAGTCAAATTTTCTATAATTTTTTTTATAGGCTAAAACCTGTTAGTAAATTACTGTGACTTTTGCAACTAAATGTAGTTTTTAAATCCTGATTTTTGTGATTTTCTAGCAGATAAACATTAAATCATCAAAAATAAAATAAAAACTCAAATAAAATCAATCAAAGCCTACAGTATGCATCAGGTTTGTAAGATTTATATTCAGACTAAATTATTTAAAATATGTGGTAATAGCAAAGATTGGGACACAAATGTCATGTGCTTTTTTTTATCATTAAAATGAGTTTAGTTTATATTTCAACAAAAAAAACTATTTATAAGTTAGGTTTTATTAAATAAATATTTGTACTACAATGAGTTACATACCAATGTCAAATGATGTGTATCTGTTGGATACAGTCAAAACCTCTGGAGGTCAAAATCTTCATTTTTATAATGTGTATAAACATCTGATGCATTTAAAGCTTCTTTTCATGCAAGATTAATCTTATGTTACATAATAGCTTATCTAACATACCAAACAGTTACTATAAAACATGGGATTTGTGCCTCTAATACTTCAAAGCGTAATGGGACAGCAATGTGTTCCCTGTTCATAAACAGTGCTATAAATACTGTATATACTGTACATAAAACTCCTGTTGAGATGTTCTCTGTGCTTGCTTATCGCCGAGATGGCACTGTTGCCAAGGTGACTGCTGGATCTAGTGTGCTGAAATGCTCTAGGGCATGTGTTTATCTTTCCAGCCATGTGACAGCAGCAGGAGTCAAGAACCGACAGTAGACTTTGGAACAGACAGGTAAGAAACAGACTCACGTCCTCATTGGTGGTCTGGTTGAGGGAGATCAAGTAGGTGTGAAAGCCAGTCAATCCCACCACAGACCAGAGGGTGAAAAAACACACCAGAACCTCCAACACAGTGCAATGGGGAGTCAAGGAAACAACATGCTCAAAAACATCTACAATACAGCGTAAACAATGTGTTTGAACTTTGATATTTCTTTGTTCAGCAATACAAAGGGTTTTATAAAAGAAAATACATGCTTGTGCCTATTTAAATGTTAGAAAACTAGTACACAAACACAGTGTTTATCGTAATAGATCATTTACAGCATAACAGGTTTATGAGGAGCTCATTTTGTTTTCAAATCTTCAGGGAGTGGTTCTATAGCCCGGATGAAAGGATATGTTCCGGGAGTTTCTTTAATGGTATTCACAAATCCTGAGTCCACAGAACCTATAAAACACACAAGATATATTTATTTACATCATGTATCTATGCATGCAAGCAGTAACTCACAGCATCAGAAGTCTCAGCATCTCCCGTTCTCTCTCCCATCATTACATGTTCAGTAGATTTTCGCACATCCACCCACACTCTGCCAGAGCTGAGAAGTTTGCACTGTTCGTTTACAAGCACCTTTTGGTTTTGCATTCAGCCTAATAAAAATCTGTTGAAGGAATAGTTTACCCAAAACTGAAAATCTACTAACCATCATTTCCACAGGCAGTCAAACTCAAAAAAGGGCAAAGGAAAAAAATAAAGAGGATCATAGGGTAGTCTATGTGACTTACTTATTTGTGTTTTACCGCCATATCAGCAACAATGGCTATATTCATGGCAATATTAACAGTATCACTTCATTACATAATTTACAATAATTATAAGAAGCAACCACTATACAAAAACATACAAGTAACAACAACAGTACTGATCAAAATCATACAGAATCTTTAAATTTTCAACTTTCAACAAACTGGTTTCTCTTGCCCTTTCAATAAATATGAATGAGTGAGTCTTGAATGTCCATCTCTATGTGACTTATATGCTACATATACAGTATATGACTTCAGAGGCCATACAATAACTATGTGAGAAACGGAACAAAACTCGATGATTTTCACCTACATGAAAGCTCTCAAATTACATGACACCTATGGTGAAGGTTTGACATGATGACATTTGGTTCTATATAAAAACTTAAATGTCAATCTGTACATCAATAAAAGCAATTGCATGGCTTCAGAAGACTTATATAATAGTGCACATGCTGCATGGACTAATTTTAGGGTGACCAATGACTGTGGATACGTATGGTCAGAATTAGATTATATTATTTAAATTAATAGGCCAAATATCAAACCGCACAAGCTGGTTATGATGTAAAGGTCAGAGCTGATTTATACCGCATTTACTCGCACATATGACATTTGTGAAAAAAGTGAATTTCAAATGGAAGGGGAAAAATAAAAGGATCGGCTTCACTCTTTGGAAAGTCAAAAATAGAAACATGCTAAATATGCTAGCAGTGTAGACAGCTTTGTTATAATAAGAGAGATCTAATTTTGTTGAGTTGCGATGTGCCACATGTATCCGGTGTCGATGTGGTGTGGGGAAAGTATGCGTTTTCTCTGAAAGCTTATCATTGCTATGGAAACATTACATTCAGAATTTGCGTCACACATTCAGAATCTGTGGTATGACTGAATTTATCTGTGCATGTAAACAAAAAAAAAATCATGGAATTATACCTCAAAATGAATGACAGCCACGATGTGTTTTACTTTTAAATTAAAATCACAGGCTCAGAGCAAACTGCCCAGGAATTCATGTGAATTCTGCTTCTCTTTCTTCCTGTCTATAGTGCACTTTGAGAAGATGGAAGATCAAAGGAAGGAAAGAGAGCAGACATTTACGAGAACGTATAGTGGCTCTTCCGATATCCTGAACACTCCCCGACTGAACCACGCCTGAGAGAACCGTATTCACATACATACTGAGTGTCGCTTTAAGGCACTCGTTTTTTCCCAGAAACTATGATCCTTAAACCGTTGGACCGTCTGTGCATTTTAAATTGTTATTGATAACATGAAAACGTAATTTCCTCTTAAACAATTCGATTTTGGATGTCAACAGTGAAGACGCTCAGGCACTCACACACACATTTTCTTGCTGCGATACTCACGGAGAACCACATGGACGATGTCAAAGGCGAAGATGTAGATGGTAAGTAGAGACAGCGAGAGTGTGAACAAGTAGAAGTATCTGTAATTCCTCTTTCCTACGCAGTTTCCGACCCAGGGACAATGATGGTCAAACCGGTCTGAGGGAAAGACACACAGAATCTTAAGACTCTCATGAAGATTTGTGAAAGTCAGTTTCTACATTCTCTGTGAGTGTGGATCTTCTGCCAGAGACAGGCATATATATTTTAAACTGCTAAGAGGGAGATGGTACTCAAACCAAACTAGAGTGAGTGAGTGAGTGAGTGTGAGTGTGAGTGTGAGTGTGAGTGTGAGTGTGAGTGTTTGTGTGTGTGTGTGTGTGTGTGTGTGTGTGTGGCAGGTGCAGGCCGCTCAAACAAATGGCCCTGTGTTCAGGATGACTGTGCAAAAAGAGCAAAACTGAGCCCTCAGTGAACTCTCTAATATCAGCATATGTATCTCACTAACCTTGCAATATGTGTGAGTAAGTGCGTGTGCTGTGCTGTCTGACTCATCTTTTAACAATTCACTATTATACTGGAGTATCAAATGGCACGTAAATGTGCAACTATATCAAAGGTAAGAATGCTTGTCAATTCTTGTATGTAGACATAGTACAACTCTGTAAAACCCCACAAACCACAATAACTGCAGCACATTATTTTTAGTGATACAAAACAAATTATAAATCTAGTGAAAACGAAAAAACAAACAATTCTACAAAATAGCTTGTTGCATTGTAAGTTACTTTGGCCTTGTAAGGTTCAATTCATTTGTTGACTTACTAATACTTAGTAAAAATGTTTAATTTATTTTTAATTCATGATACATTATATTAGTAGTACCTATAATAATAATAGTATTAATTAATGTTGAATTAAGTAGTGATTATATATAGTAAATATAGTTTATATATAGTATATAGTAAGTAATATGTATTAATGCGTTTAAAATAAGTCTCATCATAAATATGGATTATAATATTTATTTGATATTATAATATATTTATTTGATCAAAACTAAAATAGTAAAAACAGTAATATTGCAATAAATTTATAATTGTTTTCTATTTGAATATATTTTAAAATGTAATTTATTCCTGTGATGCAGAGCTCCAGTCATCAGTGTCACATGATCCTTCAGAAATCATTCTAATATGATGATTTGATTCTCAAAAAACATTTCTTATTATTATAATCAATGTTTAAAACAGCTGTGTTGCTTAATATTTTTGTGGAAGCAAACCGTTTTCTTCTGGAGTCTTTAGTGAATAGAAAGTTTCAAAGAACAGAATTTATTTGAAAAATAAATATTTTGTAATGTTTTTAATGTCATTATAGATCAATTTAATGGATCCTTGCTGAAAAAAAGTTATAAAAAAAATTTACAGCACACCTCCCTTCAACAAGCCACACAATTTGAGGTAGCATTCATGTTTGTAGTGCAAAATGTTAGGGACAATCACTCACCCACGCAGTTGTCGCAGATGCTGCAATGGGAAGCACGAGGGGGTCTGAAGATCTTGCAGGTGTAGCAGTACTTCAGCTTGACAATCTGGTTGTTAATTTGCACGTTCTTGATGCGGGGCGGAGGCCGCTGTCCAGCCAAGACATTCCCATTGGCCGCTTCTGCAAGAGATGAGTAGAGACAGTCAACATAGCAACCGGCAGCCGCTCGGGTCGATTAAGATCCATATGCATGACACATAGCACAGCCTCTGATAAAGGACTCACTGAAGGCCACTCCAGCGAGTGCCATGACTCAATGACAAAAGACATGAAAAAACACCAATAAATCAGACCCAGGAGAGTGTGCATAGCTCTGTGAAAAAAGGTCAAAACCTCAAGTACAAAATAGTTATTAATGGTGCTGGTATGACAAGTATAATGATTTTTGCACTAGTTGAAGCGGAATGAGATTAAAACATGATTTAGTAATGGTACAGTAATGGTAACTGCCGGTGACAACAGTTAAATAAACAGTGTAGTGATCATTTTACAAAAATATCTGACCACAGAATAACTTACTTGAACAATGCAAAAAATATATAAAAAAATTGGGTGTGCATGTATTTTCACTAAAACTGTTCACATATGTAAATGATAAATTGCTTTCTAAGGAAAATAATTTTCTATCGTTGCTTTTTTCTATTATTTTTTGTCTCTCCAGAGATCCAGAAAAAATGATAAGCCTCTTTTCTATTCCCTTTTCTTTATTTGCATTTTTTCAAAATGACTCACTTTTACCTGGATAGCGACAATACTGAAGGCAAAGCTCTTCTTTTAAAAGACAAGACAAATTTCAAAAGGTAATTTCCTTGCATTTGTCAGCTCTGTACTTTTATACTCTAGTGTAATGGTTGCATTAGCATGCGCTCAGGAGGCAGAACTACACAGCTGCCTTTTAATCCACATGCCTGGATTGGCTAAAACGGCAAATCCAAACTTGCATCTGATCCAGAATCAGCCACTTTTAATCAGCCACACAGACATTCATCTAAAAATAGAATTTTAAAGATGGAATGCTGAAATAGAGGGAATTTGTATAAATCAATCTTTGCCCTGTTGTTTGCAGTAGTCAAACAAAACTGCCCTATTTTAAGAGGGTACAGTTGAATCAATATCAAAATTTTGGCTTTTGTATGACAGCAGTCTTAAAACAAAAAACAACCCTGAGTAACTGATGAATTTAAATGACACCAGGGCTGTCAATACATTCAATAATTCAATGTCAATCATTTGGGAGTAATCTTTTTGTTGTTGTTGTTGTTGTTGTTGTTAACCTGATAATGCATTTAGTTCCTTTTTATTTACCTGCAGTAATTAAACTATATAAAGTTCTACACACTTACATAAGTAACAAAAATGCTTTGTCTCTGTCACCTGATGGTCTTGTCATTGAACAAAAATATAGTTCATACTTGCTGAAATTTGATACAAATTTCCATTAAATTAAATGACTGAGTTACTGTAGCTTACAGAATGAAAAAGTTCTGACAAATTTCTTAAAAAATAGGGCTGTTAATCAAATTGAATTGATTCCATGATATGAAAACTATTTAAATGAATCGCTATTAATTCATCTTGAAAAACCTAGGTAAATAAGGTAGCCTATAAGGATATATGATTTCCAGACATGGAAAAGTCACGTAGATTAATAAAATCTTGTAACTCCACGTACTTTACAAAATGAATACACTTTTTCCTAGTTATGCCAAGATCTAAAATAACTTATCGGATAGAAATTGAGTAAAAATATATATATATATATTTTTAAACCTTTATCCTAAGTCCAGTAAAATCACAAACAGCTAAAAAAAATCATGGGGCCTTGATTGTTGTATGACAGCAGTCTTAAAACAAAAAACAACCCTGAGTAACTGATGAATTTAAATGACACCAGGGCTGTCAATACATTCAATAATTCAATGTCAATCATTTGGGAGTAATCTTTTTGTTGTTGTTGTTGTTGTTGTTGTTAACCTGATAATGCATTTAGTTCCTTTTTATTTACCTGCAGTAATTAAACTATATAAAGTTCTACACACTTACATAAGTAACAAAAATGCTTTGTCTCTGTCACCTGATGGTCTTGTCATTGAACAAAAATATAGTTCATACTTGCTGAAATTTGATACAAATTTCCATTAAATTAAATGACTGAGTTACTGTAGCTTACAGAATGAAAAAGTTCTGACAAATTTCTTAAAAAATAGGGCTGTTAATCAAATTGAATTGATTCCATGATATGAAAACTATTTAAATGAATCGCTATTAATTCATCTTGAAAAACCTAGGTAAATAAGGTAGCCTATAAGGATATATGATCTCCAGACATGGAAAAGTCACGTAGATTAATAAAATCTTGTAACTCCACGTACTTTACAAAATGAATACACTTTTTCCTAGTTATGCCAAGATCTAAAATAACTTATCGGATAGAAATTGAGTAAAAATATATATATATATATTTTTAAACCTTTATCCTAAGTCCTTATCCAGTAAATCACAAACAGCTAAAAAAAATCATGGGGCCTTGATTGTTGTGGATATTGGGGGACCTTGGAGTCAAAAAAGCATAAGAACCACTGATTTAGGGGCTGTTCATGCAGGTTTTTGAGATGTTTCAAAATTTGAACATTAATTTCAATGTATTAATTTTTATGTTTCACATCACAGTGCCTTATGATGATAATATACAGCTGTAAAATTTTTTGTACCATGTTACACAGTACCAGCATATAACACAACCCTATTAGAGAGAACCATAAAACAATTCTACATGTGAACATGTTCCACAAAATCAGTGAAAGGGGTTAGTGGATATTTAATGACATCAGAGAATACTGTGGTTTATCAGGGGAATTGCCCAGAGAAATGATGTCCTGGTTTAGTGAACATCAGTAATAACAAATGCTGCACTGCCCCAAGGCACGTCTGAGCTTCAGCGGTGGTGCTGATGTGTAACAACGGAGCTCTCATTTAAAAAAGAAACCAGGGAGGGGAGTAGAGACGAGGGAGGAAGAACGGAGAGAAGTGAGGGTGGAGAGTGTAGGGAGATGAGTTCATCTTTATCTTGTAATCAGTGCAGGGAACGGTGACAGGCTGGTGACTGAACTAGACAAGGCAATATTTCCCACAGAGCCACAACCACACAAATTAATTACTAGAAGCAAAATTTGCAAGATGAGAGCAGCAAGTTAATCTAATTTATTGCATTTAATTAGTCAGTGCAGTGATGTTAACCTTTCTGACATTCAAAATAGGACAAACGTGCAAAAAACTACACATGAATTCCCTATTTTAGGCCTATTTTCAGTTTTTCTTTTGTATTTTCAGCCCACTGAAAATAGATATTTTTGCTGCAGGGTAAATGTGTATTTTTTTCTTTTTTTTTGCAAAGGAAGCCAATGCGTAGGGCATTTCGGTTCAATTCACTCACTGTAGATCAGGATAGACAAAGGTCTAAGGAAATCTACTAAGGCAATTTCTTTTACTATTTAAAGGGGTCCTATTATGCATTTTCACTTTTTCAACTTTAGTTAGTCTGTAATGTTGCTGTTTGAGCATAAAAAAGAACTGCAAAGTTACAAAGCTCAAAGTCCAATTCAAAAGGAGATATTTTATTTAACAGAAATCACTTTTCAAAAACTACAACAAATGACTCGTTTGGACTACAACGCATATTTAATATCAACGAATGGGACGAGACCTGGTTGAGCTGCACTAGAGAAGGCAACGAGTGTCATCACTATGTCAGAGACACACTAGCTTTCCCAAGGCAGATGAACAGTGTGGGTTCATTCGGGTTTAAATCGCTCTCAAATTGATTTGATTTTGACGCAATATTTACGCTGAAGCTCACAGGCGGCTATGGTAAGGGGCATGACATTTCCCCGACTAGGCACCGAGTGGAGCCAATCACAACACACACTGGCCCAGCTAACCAATCACAGCACATTTCGTATTTCAGAAGGCGGGTCTTCATTTGATACAGGAACTATTCGAGCTCAGTGTCATGCCAGACTGAGGAGAGAGGTGTTGTAATAATGTAAAATATGTGAAAAATAATATTTTTTCGAACAACCTAGTATAAGAGCCTGTTCTAGTACACCCCCAAAACAAAATCAAGACTTTGTAAAAGAGCATAATAGGACCCCTTTAACAGTCAATGTTTGAGCATACTTTGTCAAAGAAAAAAAAAAGAGACAAGACAAATGAACCTTAGGATTTGAATGAGCCTCAACAGTTTCTGCCAAACACCCCTGCAAAAGATACAATTTTCACTTTGAATAGTCATAACACTGGTTTCTGTTCAAGTCAGCTGACATATGGCATTGTGTGGGTGTGTACCAGTCATGTGAAGAATATCTATTTCTTATTTTACTTCCTTGTGCCTCTAATGGATAATAAAGTGAAGTAAAGCAGAAAAGCACAGAGGCAGAGAGGCAGGAATGGGATTGGGACATGCATGGATCAGATTCAAACTCTCCTGGAGCAGCTCATGTCCTCTGAAATCTCACTTGTGCATATTCAATAGAGCCCGACCGATATGGGTTTTTTGGGGCCGATACCGATACTGATATTAGGGAGTTAAAAAAAGGCCGATACCGATATATCGGCCGATTTTCTTTGTGTATATTATAGTATTGTGAATGCTGCCTGAACAAGAGACCCCCTTACTGAAGTGAAAGTGTTGACTGGTGTCACTATCTCGCGAACGCGTTAAAGCGTTAAAGCGTTTCATCCAGGCCGCCAGTAGCAAACAATGGAGCGCGCTCTGCTGGACAAACTAAGTAATTACACCATTTCAAGCATTTTATCTGCATTATATGTTCTGTAAAAAAAAATGTTCATATCGGCGGCATATTCGCCGATACCGATATATCGGCGACAGGCTCATATCGGCCAATAATATCGGCAAAACGATATATCGGTCGGGCTCTAATATTCAACATAGGCGTAGGATATTTTTTGGGAAGTGTTTTTGTTTATTTATTAAATTATGTAAAGGGAGAGAGATTTTTGGAAGAGTTTTTCCTTAAATGTATATCTAAACATACAGATGCATCAGAAGACAAAATACATCTGTTCTTCAATATCTGTGATTTTCCAAAAAAAAAAGGGAAAAAAGTCTCAAGATAACCATTAAGCCCATCAAGCTTGAAGTAAAGAAGAACACAATGTTTCCCAGATAACCTCAGAGTTCATGGACCAACGCACTCAGCCATTTTAATCGCAAAACAAAACAATAAATTAATCAGCAGGTCTGGGCTAACAGCGTCCCACTTACGCCACACGCTTACTAGACTATTCATGTTCTTCCCCTCACTGGGTCAAAACACCCGCAGGTGGCACTGATGGTACAAACTATGGCATTAAACTTCAAATCCCCTTCCCTGAACTCAGTCACCCTCACACTCACCGATCTCCATCTCAATGAAGTTGGCCTCCTCCGGCAGGGCCCGTGGCAACACCCCTGGGTCACTGAAGCTGGTTCGGAGCAGCATGGCCATGACAAAGACGAAGAGCAACACTGCAAACACAGGGATGGCAGGAGACAGGTGCACTGCCAGGTACGGGCACCTGTATGGGACAAGTGAACAAGCAGGATTACAAATGAGGCAGGCAAAACATGACATTAACAGCACAGAGGTTACATGAGCATATAACATGAAAGTGAAATCTCTCTAATAATTCTATCTAGTGTTAAAGGTGAAGTGTGGAATTTTTGTGCTGTTAATGGCAAAAAATAAATAAATAAATAAATAAAAATAAGAAACCCGACAGCTATGATATAATATAATGTAATATAATATAATATAATGTAATATAATATAATATAATATAATATAATATGTGGTAAAGACAAAAATAAAAATACAAACAAAACATAATAAATTTTTTTTTTTTTTAATTGTGGAAAAAAAGCTCAACTAAAACAAATGGCAATGGATAGATAAAGAATTTGCATTAAAACAAATAAACATTTCTGCTGGATAGCAGATGTTTTGAACTATAACCCTGCATTAAGAGAAATGGTTTGGAGAAAGTAAAGTAAAAGTAAAGTAAAATAATTCTTAATTTAAAATAAAATAATTCTGTTTGTGAATTATTGTGTGTGCACAAGTGGCTAAAATGTACACAATTCACATTACACATAAATGCTGCTGAACCTAAATTGTTTTTTTTTTCTTCCAAAAAATTGACATTAATTTCGCTGAAGCAAAATGGCAATTGATACATAAAAAATTTCACATCAAATACAAACATTTCAATTGGCACGCCAATGCTTTTGACTATAATTTTCCTAAATCCAACACAAAAACATTTTTGTTATCTTTTTGATGAAGCAATAGTTTCTCCCTGAAATAAAAGAGGGGAGATGGAGTGGGTTTGTAATATCTGTCTGGCTCAGTCTTTTCAGACCCAACAATGAAGCAGTCAGGGAGGATGTTTACTATGAATGACTGTGCTTTCTCCATTTCTGCAGGCAGACAGCCATACAGCAATGAATTTGGTTGTTCCCATAAATTGCGGATGCCTTGGGTCCTGTAAAAGTGCCTCCCTTCTCTCAGCCTACAGCAGATTGGTCGGCTCCACAGGCCACTGCATTGAGCTATTAATAGGGTCACCCTGGCTCTCCCCCACCACTCTCTCCTGCAATGTAGACCTGCTATACTAAGATAATGTATGGCTAATACATCACGATAATGGTTCAGCTCAACGCAGGCACAGTGCATCCACTCTCGAGGGGAAATTTGCTACATTTAGCGTTCTGCATGTGCAAAGGACATCTTTACAACACTAACTACAATACAGTGAGAGAGAGAGAAGACATGACAAGTCCTAATAACACAATACAAAAATATAGAACTAGATTTTGTAATAAAAATGTAAGTGGTGCTTGCTCATACAAAAATTGCCACTATGGTATTGTGGGTGGTTATTTACATGGAGTTGGGCGACCAGTTTTATTTATGTACTATTTATTCATGTTTTTAAAATAGGTATCATTTGTATATTTTCAGTTTTCATTTTAATTTTAGTTTGTTTTTTGTTACT